GTATTCAATTGATAGTGATGTGCGTATGATGCGAGTATCATACCGGTATCGTATGTTAAGATATACGCGAGCGATACTTTACATTTTGAGATCTTTCCGGCTTATTTTTGCCTGAGAAATGAATACAATGAGGACAAATTTAAAGGTCACATGCAGTGCTCAGAACGCAGTAAATGGCATTTCCGGGCTTCAAATTTCAAAAATTTTCCGGGGAGGCATGCCCCCGGACCCCCTTAGCTATGCGAGGTCTTTGAAAATGCTACGGTCAGATTTTTGGCTGGATCCGCCCCTGAGTCATGTCAATAACACAGTGACAAAAAGTTCCAAAAGGATTTACCTTTTAGTGCAGCTGAAACGAGCAAAAGTCGCGATTCAAGATGTTTTACAATTCTATACAGGATGTATCCGCCCCATTCCGGAATACGCTTCCACTGTTTTCCACTACTCTTTACCTAAATACTTGAGTGATGAAATTGAACGAGTACAAAAACGGGTTCTTCGAATTGTATATCCGAACTTACATTACGAAGATGCATTGATGGAAGCTGGGATGGAGTCATTGTACGCTAGATCGGAAAATTGCCTGCAATAAACTTTTTAATCAAATTTTAAATAACCCGAACCATAAACTTCATTATTTAATCTCTAAAATAGATACTTCATTAAATTACCAATTACGAAACAACAAGAAGATACATGTTCCGAAATTCTGTACTGAACGTTTTAAGAATTCGTATGTCATCGCTAGTTGTTTAGACATAAATAATCGTAATTCAACAAATTAGTGTTAGTTTTAATATTTATAATCTTCTTAGTAAGCCATAGCATAGGTTGTAATTTTTTAAATGTAATATAATTTGTATTCAGTCTTATTTATATTGTAATCGCTTACCAATTCAGTATTTGTACTGCAAAAAGTGAATTATTAAACAATCTATCTATCTATCTATCTATCTATCTATCTATCTATCTATCTATCTATCTATCTATCTATCTATCTATCTATCTATCTATATATATATATATATCTATCTATCTATCTATCTATCTATCTATCTAGCATATCTTTTCTTATTTTCAATTTATAAATCTGCCGTGCTTAGATTATTTAGTTCTCGGTAAAACTCACTGAGCTATACTAGTAAAAAATAAACAGCCATTTTGTATTTGCCAAACTGATCCACTTATCTGTATAGTGTACTGAATTATCAAGAAAACTTGAGGCCGCCCGCCTGACCGCTTGATGTTCTCCATTTCTGGCCATGTTACTCTCACTATACGTCCAAGCGGCCATAATGATCTTGGTGAGGTTTCGTCGACTATTAGTACGATATCTCCTGGCCGGAGTGAAATTTCGTCGAGGATTCATCCATTTTTGTCGCCGTTGTAGTTTGGGCAGATACTCTTTCAACCAGCGGCGCCAGAAAACATCAGATTGGTATTGAGCTGGTCTCCATCGACGTCTGCAATATAAGTCGTTGTCGCCGAAGATTCCGGGAGGTAGTGTACGTTGGTCCTTGGGCGCAGCGGAAGCAAATGATTTGTGGTCAAAGCTTCCAAGTCATTCGGATCATCAGATACTTTGGTCAACGGTCTACTGTTCATTATAGACTCCACTTCACACATGATAGTTGTCAGGCATTCATCGACCATGGTCTGCTGTTTTAGGAGTGCCAATAAGATTTTGCTAACTGTCCTGATACAGCGCTCCCAAACTCCGCCATGATGCGATCCTAAGATAGGGTTGAAAGTCCACTTGATATTTTGTTGCAGGAGGAATTGGTGGATTTTCTCTTGGTTCCAACTTTCAATTGCTGTGCGAATCTCTTTCTCAGGAGTGACACAATTATTTTAGTTGTCGGATCTGATCACCTGCGGTTGACCGCTCCTTGCAATGAATCTGGAAGGGCATGAAGGAACGAACTTGTTTCAAGGCTTTGAACCACTTCTCTATGAACAGCACGTATTGCCAAACACGTAAATAAAACTCCATATCTCTTTATAAGACTTCGAGCTCTTATTATGAGAAATGGTCCGAAACAGTCCAATCCCACAAATGTAAATGGCGGTTTGTCTGGCGAAACGCGATGTTCTGAGAGATCGGCCATTTTTTGTTCCCCAACAGCTGCTTGTCTTCTTCTGCATTCTACGCAACGTCTCAGAATTTCTTTCAGAGTATTTCGTGCTCCAATTATCCAAAAGCGTTTTCTTATTAATGACAAAACATGTCGAGACCACTATGTCCTGCCAACTGATGGTAATGTCTTGAAATCTGTTTCGAAATTGGACTGTTCTTCGGAATGATTAATGGGTGTTTGCTTTCGTCTGAGATAGGAGCATTCGCCAAACGTCCTCCGACACATAGGAGTTAATTCCTTACTTGTGGATCGAGTTTGTAGATGGGACTAATTGTCTTCCTGACTGGGCCATCTAAAGACCTTGTTGCTTTGTAGTTCTACGCGTTAACACCATTCAGACTGGCCAATTCATCTTGAAAACTTCTGCATTAACGTATTTCACAATCTCCCTTTCTGCAACCAGCATGTCGTCCACAGTAAGCGGTTTAATTTCTGGGTTTGGGCTTCTTGTTGCGATGTTAGTCATCTTAGCTGTATCAGCAGCGCCTTTACGTAGGTTTGCACGATAATGAAGTATCCATGCCACAAATCTCTTCAGCTGATCCCATGATGAGAATCTCTCGATAATTCCATCAGTGTAACTTGTGAACTGTTCGTAATTGAAAACACTTGCGTTGTTAACTTCACGTCTGGATCGTCAACGCGAATTATGGGAGTTATGGTAGGTTGACTCGGCCAGTAATTCTCGTATTCCCATAAATATTCATGACCATTTATCAATCGAAGCTTATTTAACAAGGCGTCAGCAGTTAACGTTAGCCCCCGTGAAGCGTCGTCCGTAGGATTTTGTTCACTGGTAACATATCTCCACTGAATCGGAGAACTCGCTTCAAGAATGGTGGCAATTCTATTAGCAACAAACGTCTGTAGTCTCTTGTTCTTGTTCTTCAGATAACCCAGAACACACGTACTTTCGGTCCAAAACTGAGTAGCGTTGATTCGAATATCGCTTTCATGTCGTACCACTTTGTCAAGCCTCGTTGCTACGACAGCAGCCTACATTTCCAGTCGTGGAATTGCTGTTTCCTTTAGAGGAGCCACTCTTGACTTAGCCATCACGAATGAACAATGGACGTTGCCACCGACATCTTCAAACCGAATGTACTGTAGGTAGCTGTGCCATAGCCACGCTGTGAGGCATCTGCAAAGGTGTGTAACTGCTTTGAAACGATTTCTGGCGTATTCGTAGGTTTAATGCATCTTGGAACCCGAAGTTACTCAATTGTCGGTAATTCTTTTAGCCAAGTGTTCCATCGTTTAACGTGATCGGCTTCAATCAGGTCATCCCAGTTCAACTTTCTCCTACATATAGCTCTTGCATTAGTATCTTTGCTGGTAGTATGAATGGTGCAGTACACCCAAGGGGGTCTATACTGAACTCACAATTGAAAGTAACCGTCGTCGTGTTGGTTGCTTCTCTTTAATGGTCACCTTGAACATAAATTCATCGTTCACGACATCCCAATTCATTCCGAGTTCTCGTTGTATTGTTGGTTGGTCGAAATTCTAATCCTTCACAGAACCAGATCTTTCCTCTCCAGGCACTGACTGGATCACTCGAGCTGAGTTTGAGATCCACTTCGTCAGATGAAATCCCGCACGAGCCAGCAATGTCGTAAGACCATTAGCTAACGAAACACCTTCGTCTTCTTCGCGAACAGACTTTAGGCAGTCTTCAACGTAAAGGTTTCTTTTGACTGTGCCCGATACCATAATATCAAAGTCGCTCGAGTTGTCTTCTGCAGTTCTTCGCAGTGCAAAATTTGCACAGCTGGGGGAGGATGTGGCACCAAAAAGATGAACCACCATCTGGAATTCCTGAGGTTCTACACTGAGGTCGTTTTGAGGCCACCAGAGGAAGCGCAATGCGTCATAATCGTTAGAAGTAACACGCACTTGGTGAAACATTGACTCGACATCGGCCATCACCACCACAGGATTTTCTCTGAAACGAAGTAAAACTCCGACTAGGGTGTTCTTTAAATCTGGACCCTGCAGCAATTGGAGGTTAAGTGACGTCCCATGGAACACCGCTTCACGGTCGAAAACGTCGCGAACCTTGCCAGGTTTATTGGGATTGATTACTGGATGATGCGGTAGATACCACAAAGGCTGCTGAGGTGAGTCAGTTGAACTATCGGGGACCTTACGAGCATAGCCCTTGGTCAGCAAGTTATCCATGAATTCTAAATATTTTGAATGAAGATCTGAGTATTTAAGAAGCCTTTTCTTCAGAAGGTTCAAGCGGGGCTCCGCTAACAGACGGTTGTTGTGTAAGCAAGGAGGGAAATTTCTCCATGGTAATGCTATTTCATAATGTCCGTCTTCTAGTTGTACCGAGCCTTCCACCATTCCAAGCGCACAAGAATCCTCCACCGACATTTTCAATTGCCTGTCCAACACTGAGTCGTTAATTCCATATCACAAAATATTCGAAACTGTTCATTGAGCCCATGGTCGGATCGAATGAAGATTGCACAATGATGCACGGTTTTGTTTCTTCCGTGTGGGCCATTAACCGTACAGCCAAAAATTGCTCTTACAGCATATGGTCCCGTTCTATTGCTCGCTCTCTTTTACTTCCTTTGGTTCGAGTGCCCCGTCTACATTATTTCCAATCAAAAGGCCAATTGGAGCGTCAATTCTCTGCAATGTCACATCCTTAAGATTAAGCCATCTGTCGACGTCTTCTTGCTGAGGAATGCTAGATTCACTAATAGGTAAACGTTCAGTACAGAACACCATAGGGAGTTCAACCATGTTATCATCATTCAGGTCGAAGACTTCGAAACCAATCATGCTGCAGTTAGCTGTACAATCCTCGTGTTGTAGGGTTGTTAATGACAGAGTTGTCCTTTTTCCTTAAACGCGAAGTTGTTTCAACAATTCATCCGTACAGAATGTCGTGTTAGAGCCTGAGTCCAAAAACGCATACGTTATGACTCGAGATGAACCAGAACATCTTACTTTAACGGATACTAATGGTAACCCAGTCGCCGTGACACCGGCCCCGTTGACATCATTTCCAACATTGGTGGCATTCGCACAACCGTTGTTGTTGGCACGCGAATCGTAATTCGAGCGATTGTCAGGATTATTTGGGACATGAGGACCAGACGACTTCTCAGCGAATCGAGGGTTGCTTTTAGGATGCAGATATGTAGAATGCTTTAATTGGCAGCCGTTCACTTTGCAGAAACTTTTCTTAGGACATGATGTAGCAATACGACCTTGAAACAAACAGTTGTAACATAGTCCTCGTTTACGAACAAACTTGAGTCGGCCTTCAGGAGACTCTTTCTGGAAATGACTACACCGTGGCAGGATATGATTACCATTACAAATTGGACACTTGTAACTTTTGACTTCCACCTTGCGACCACTTTCATCGTCAGTGCGCTGGCCGTCGATCTCGAAGTTAAGTCCATTCTTCGTTCCAGCAATGTCTTTGGGTTTGCATCGAGTATCAGCGCTAAGTCTTCCTAAGATTGGGTGATTCAAAACTCTAGCCCGCGCATCAACGAACCTGACAACATCGTCGAAGGTTATATCTCTCGCCGTGTACTCGACCAAGTAGAACAGCCTTGCATTGTAACTTGTTGTCTATGCTTCAATTAAATTTTCGAAAGATCGCGGAAAATGACAATATTCAATCGGGTCGCCAGCGATGTCATTTGTTGATGGTGACTTTGCAATTGCTGTAAATTTTAATCTCGGGATTCCTGCATATCGAACATCTGATGCATTTGATGTTGTTGTTGTTGTTGTTGTTGTTGTTGTTGTTGTTGATGTTGTTGTTGATGTTGTTGTTGATGTTGTTGTTGATGTTGTTGTTGATGTTGATGTTGTTGATGTTGTTGTTGATGTTGATGTTGTTGTTGATGTTGTTGTTGATGTTGTTGTTGATGTTGTTGTTGTTGTTGTTGTTGATGTTGTTGTTGTTGTTGATGTTGTTGTTGATGTTGATGTTGATGTTGATGTTGATGTTGATGTTGATGATGTTGATGTTGATGATGTTGATGTTGATGATGTTGATGTTGATGTTGATGATGTTGATGTTGATGATGTTGTTGTTGATGTTGTTGTTGTTGTTGTTGTTGTTGTTGTTGTTGTTGTTGTTGTTGTTGTTGTTGTTGTTGATGTTGTTGTTGTTGATGTTGTTGTTGTTGATGTTGTTGTTGTTGATGTTGTTGTTGTTGTTGTTGTTGTTGTTGTTGTTGTTGATGATGTTGTTGTTGATGATGTTGTTGATGATGATGTTGTTGTTGATGATGTTGTTGTTGTTGATGTTGTTGTTGATGATGTTGTTGTTGATGATGTTGTTGATGATGTTGTTGTTGATGATGTTGTTGTTGATGATGTTGTTGTTGATGATGTTGTGGATGATGTTGTGGATGATGTTGTGGATGATGTTGTGGATGATGTTGTGGATGATGTTGTGGATGATGATGTGGATGATGATGATG